GAACTCTGGTACACTGTTTTCATGCATCTTTTCCTTCTTTATTTTGAAAGTGGGGGGGCATGTGCCTCTTCTGGCCCCCCTGAAGCTACACTGCTGACTAGGAAGGTTGGGTCTTCTAAAGCATTAATCATTTTATCACCTCAGTTCAACAAGGTTCTTTATTACAGTGTCTAACCTGAGAAATACACGGCCAAACTACGGAGGGTTATGCAGGTTGTAGGTGACATTTGATGAAATAATTAACAAATTATCATATAATAATAGTATACCTCGTACTTCATAAAGATTTGGAATGGAAGATATGGATACCTCCATTAAATTTGTTTTCATCACATTCCATCTGGTCGTAAGTGAAATAGAACCATGTAACCCTCTAATAGGTACATCTTCTTGGAAGTCCTATGATAGCAGGTTCTATCTGACTTCAACACTATCTCCCAGTAGTCAAAGACTATTGGGAGATAGTGTTGCACGAAATTCAGTCAATCTTGCATTAGTTTGAGGAACGCAAATACAGATAATTCATCTATGCATATGCTTTATTTGGAGGTTCAGCCTGAGTGATAGGATATCATCTGACACTTCTAAGTTAATGTTTCGATTCAGTTATTGTAGTGGATCTTGTCAGCTTCAAGCATCCATTTCAGTCTACTTTTAGATCCTATTTATTTCCAATGCTGAGATTCTTCTCCCGCCCCTCAAAAAAAGTGTGCAAATGTTTGGCCAGTTTTTCAGGTCAAGGAGATGTGCACCTTTCCTTGTACCTCATGTAGTGCAGATGCTGACCTTTCGGAAAAAAAAATCACCATGACACAATATGTACTCGACTTTAAATGAAGAATTACAAGTGAGTCGTAGTTGGCAGACTTGAAAAATTGGAATCACTTTGAAATGTAGGTATTATTGCAGAGGGCTGATAGTCCTCGAAGTCAGTTTGATGCATCATAATTATGTTTATGCAGTTCTTCCTGTTCACAGTAAGAACCATGCATGAAAATGAGAGAGGAGACCAGAATTCGGAGATTCTCAGCATTGTCTAGAAGCATGAATGTATGCTGTCCATTTCTTGAATGCAAGAATGACCATGGGCAAAAAATTGCATGGTTATATTTTCAAGATTAGGAAATTGGCAGAAGAGATGAGTTTCAACAAACTTGATGAGGTTCATATTTTAAGGAACACAGCTGTCACTCCATGTGGTTAGGTGTGATGCACCAGAAATTTTGGCTTCCAAGAACATCTGATAGCATATTTGAAAATTCCGAAAAACATTTCAGGTAAGCTATAAAGCGTCCATTTGCGTTCTCTGATGTTCTTCCAGGTGTTTCTGCCGGAAATATATTTTAGAGTGTACCATCTGTGAAGATTGTCACTGTCTGAAATCCCAGAGTTCTGAGAGTTTCCCTTGAAATTGCACATCTTTGTCAATTGAAGCGCGAATTTCAATTCAATCTTAACCAGTGCCATCATCTTGCTTGATCATGATTTAGGTATAAGAAAAAGTCTCATTGGTTGGTATTATCTGCTGCAAGAGATATGCTTAGCTGGTGACGAAGGGGGGACCACCTAATCTGGATCAAAATTCAATCAGAAGTCTCGAGAGTCTTGTTGATGCCTCCAGTCCAGGAACTGAAGATAGAACCTTGATGAACTGAAAGGTTAAGTCCCAGGCAGATAGAAATGTGAAAAATAGTTAATTCCAGCCTTTCTTGGGGGATTTCACACAAAATAAACATCTCATGAATCTACTTTTCGTGTGGATTACTTAGATGTCATCTCATTTTTCATGAAGTGTCAGATAGGGTAAAACCATTTAAGTTCGGACAATGCACCAAACATTGTTAAAAAATTAAGCATTCGCGAGGCCGCTTTCAGAAATGGTTCTTCCAATCACGAGATGGCACTTTACTGAGCGAAGGACATGCGGTGGTGATGAAGACTTAGCACGATTCCAAGATATTGAACTTGGGTCATGTGATATCGCAAACGGGAGTCCTACGAGAAACCGTAAGGAGAGAACTTTATTTTTAAAACGTTTCACACCTGACGTTTTCTGCGCTCAAGTTTTACCAGGAAACTGGAAGGACATGGTGTCCCATTAAGCAGAATGTCTTGATCAGATTACTGTCTTTCGATGTGTCCGAACTTAGGTTAGGAAATGTATGAGAAACCTATGTTCGGACATCCATGTGTGTCATATGCGCGTAAATATGATGTCCTCTATTGAGAGAAAAACTCCTAGCGTTGACGAAAGCTCAGTTGAGTCTTGCTTTTCAGGAAACGTTTTTTGAGCCTTGTCCGAACTTTCATGGCGGGACATGTAACTTCGGACACCGTCAAGCACATACGTAAAAATACAGCATCATAAGTTCCTTCACACACCTAGGTGTGCGACCTGCCTCCAAAGTAGTGCAATCATGGTAGAAGGTTGGAATGCAAGGGATTAAAGGTCATCAGGGATTTAATTTGGGTGAGATATCATGTGAAAGGCCAGCATTTCTTACGATGGACCCGTCTGCTAAAAAAAATAGGTGCCTTTGAGTTGTACCTCCGAAATTCGGAGTGGGGATGTGTCCCTGAGGTTGGATTTTTTTTTAGTTAAGCATGCAGATAAATACTTGTCTATTGAATGTGACAAACTGTGCCTGCCCATTCTGCTTTAAAAACAATTCCGAAAATATTCCCCAAATGAAAAATGTGCATCCAAGGGATTTACCACAAGAGAAGGATATTTTCAGAAATTAGCGACGGGAGAGAAACCTAGGTTCCAAATTCCAGATTTCTATATCCATCAGCACTTGATTCAGCGAAGCAAAACATTAAAATATATGGCTCCCCCCCCCCCCTCCAGATGGCTCTGGAGGGAAAGCAAAGTCACGCAAGGGTGCCCTTTCATCCCCTTCAGATTCTTATGTATGAAAGAAAAAATAGGAAAAATCGGTTCTTATTTATGTAACCATGACCAGTGAATTGAGAAAATTCTTGTGATCCTTTGTGGTGCTGGCACCTATTACATGTAGCAAGTCGAGGGCTGNTACTCGACATGGGTCCCTCATCGGCTCAGCGACTCTGACAAAGCAAGCCGTGTCGGTGTCTGCGAATCACTGCTCCTTCGTCCGCACAGAAAGGACCTTCTGAAGGAAATCGTTACTGGAGATGAGAGCTGGGTCCTCTACGTCAACCATACTCGCAAGAGTTAGTGGCTTCCACGAGGAGAATTGCCGCCACATGAACCGAAACCAGGGATCCACGAGAAGAAGGTTCTTCTCTGCTGTTGGTGGGATTCAGAAGGAATGTTGTACTATGAGCTCCTGCCAACCGATACCACCGTGACTGCCGTCGTCTACGCTGCTCGACTTCAGAAGTTGGCTGGCGTCATTCAAAAAGAGCGTCCCAAACGCGACAAAGTTCTCCTTCTGCATGACAACGCTCGTCCACGTGTTGCGAAGATGACTCGCCAGACAATTTTGGAACTGGGCTGGGAAGTTTTACCCCATCCAGCGTATTCTCCGGACTTGGCCCCTTCCGACTTTCACTTGTTCCGGGCCCTCAAGAATCACCTGCGGGACAAGGCCTTCGACGATCGAGCACAGCTCGAAAATGATGTCGGCCGTTTCTTCGCTTCGCAATCGCCAGAGTTCTGGGCAAAGGGCATCGAGCATTCCTTTGCATCACAATCAAGTGTTTCAAGCCTCATTGAGACTTTAAAACGGGGGTGTCCGAACTTTTTCCACATTTAAGTTCGGACATCACATTATAAGCAACATCAGAAGTCACTGCTAGGAAGGACAACACCTTTGTAGCACTTATAACTCCTCGTGCCGTGCTCCCAGGAACAAAAATTGAGGCTTCCAGCTTGTACCGTTGAGATAGAACGAGCGAATAATGAAGCTCGGCCAGCTTAACTGTCCGAACATAGGTAGTTTTACCCTAGAACCTTATTGAACTGAGGTGACGATTTCAAAGGATTTCTTTTTTTCTACACAATGAAAAGAATAAGGCCTGAATGCTGAAACACTCCATTTTAGTTAACGGTCCTTCAAGAATACATGGAATTCCATGGGGGAAAAAAAGCTATTGCTTAAAGGACTCTTTATCTCGCTTAAATGAGGTTTTTGCATTCGGGCCTAAGTTTTTACATTGCATCTTCCATAACTTACTGGAATGTACTGGCTTCTGTTCTTGATTGCAATCAAAAGTATAACCTGCCCTAAAGAGTATACTGGTCACCTGAAAAATAAATATTTATAATTAAATAATGCAGGGGTACTATCTCACTTTCATCATAAGGTTGTCATGCTTGGAAAAATGACAATTGTCACTCTAGAAGGAAAAAAAAATTGAGTCTCATTGAATGATATTTATTTCAATTGGCCACAGTGCAGTGCAATCATGGGAAACATCAAAGACAGTACCAGTAATACTGTTCATGTTGGCAAGTTTGTGATGTCATTGTTGCAATTTGAAATCACAGTCGAGAAATTTCAGTTGTACTAAGTTCTGTCATGAACGATTTTGTAAGCTTAGTTGCCTAACAGGCCTTAGGAAAAGGACATTCCTAAATGCGTGGTCCAGTCTCAGAAGTTGGAGTTCTTTCAAGGAAAGGCAAACATGATCTGAGCACACTTCTAGGTCTTGCGTCCCGTGTAACCTGTCGCGAAACTATGGAATGGTAGTTCGAATAAATAGTAGTTTTCTGAGAACTAATGCAAAAAGAAGCTTGATACTATGGCTGCCTTCTATCATGCTCTTTTCAATGTTAGCAACGTATTAGACAAGGAAAACATTGGCCATGAAGGCTGGTGCTCCCTGTATGCCCATTCTTTACTATTGTCTCTACATATTCCACTACTCTGAATGCAAACTAAAAAATTTTCCATAGGAAAATCAAAACCATCTCTTGGATCCAACCGAATCAAGCCCTTCCTTTCTCCTTAAGTGTACACGTACCGCCTTCAATTTGCAGAATGCACATGGTTTCACCAAATATTCCCCCCCCCCCCCCCTACGGTCGTAATTTTTTTTTATTACAGCCGTTGTATTTTTTTTGTGACATTGCATGCACAGTAATAATTGCAATGATTTGATAGCAGGTGATCTAAGATGGCCTGTGATTTCGAATGGTAGCTAGCCTCTTTGAGTAAAACAACATAGAATAGCCACTGCAAGACCCATTGCTTGTTATGATGGGATGGACAAAAGAGCAGGTCGCTCATTTTCTGCAAAGCGAAAGCTGGGTGACTTAACATTTGAACAGACGCTTTGAGGATTTGGACTCGGTATCATGGGGAGCTCCGCTCTAATTGTCCCAGGAAAGTCGTCCCCCAAACACCGACTCAACGGGGGTGTCTCCAGTTCAATACACCAGCCCCCTTGGATCACCCACAATCAAGAACTTCCCGATGAGTATGGTTAATTGGGAGTGAAACTTTGCAACAAAAAAAAATGTCCACGGTTTCAGCTCTGAAGAGAATGACAAGTATTGTGTGACATCTGGTACGATGCCGATGAATGAAATATGCATGCTGCCCCAATTGGACTGACTTTAATACAACAAGGGTTTCCATGTGTTTTTCTATTTATGGAGGACTGACATTCAGTAGAACTTTGTTTTGGGGTTGAGAACTCGCCTTCCCCGGGTAGGTGACTCGGATGCATTATGAGAGGGGGGGGGGGAACTTTCGCCGAGGCAGTGTTCTTAGTCCATCAAGACAGCCGAATTCTGTGCCCAGAGTACTGACACATTCACGGGATTGACTCTCGATCTAGACATCGCGTATTTCCGAGGCCCACTTGTATGAATTGACTGCGATAGAAAAAGATGCGTGCAAAAGCTATTTTCGGACTCAGGGTCACAAGATGTTCCTGTTGTGTAAGCGTTGACTCTCCTTTACAGGAAGTTTGAGTGGTCATTCATTCACATGAAGCTGGTGGCAAAGGAAAGGGTGTGGTAAGACGAAACAGATTCAGCTGACAGAACCAACCGGGAAAAATGGCACACAAGTGAATAAAATTCCAGGACTCTATAAGCCTCCCGAAACAACGAAGCAATGCAGAACACATGCGGCATGACACCATGATGCACTCGAGGGTTCTTGGTGCGTGAAAGGGGGTTTCGCACAACAAATAGCTCATTCTTTGGGAAATTTATCTATGAATGAAGTGCGACAAAAAGTCGATGGGGAGTGGAAACAAAATGGTGGAATTCTTCTCTGCGGAAATGGCGTTTAGGGTCTGGAAAAAGATAATGACAGAAATTCATTCTCTCACATCACTCATCGTACCTCGTAGCTTCTCCACTTGTTTATCCCTGAACAAGTACGATTTACGAAAGGATTATTTTCGTGCCAATGAAATGCACGTTTGCAAGGGAACTACGTGGGGTTTCTTTTTCCAGCTTTATTGTATGGGGAAAAAATCACTGTGCAAGTGGAGAAGCTATTGATACACGCAGGAAATTTATTGAGAAATGAGACAAAAAAAAATGAAGTGATTGTAATAGTGCTTGCAAGGGACAGAATGAAAGGGAAGTGAGATCAGTTGGAAACAGACGGCATGCCATCGCCGATCATTCAGAAAAGGAGAGATCGTCTTAAAAGTGCATCTGTGCAACTTCTTTGGTTTCTTTGAACCGTTCTTTCGACCTCTACTTGTGTTTCATAAAGTGCGCGAGGAAGTCAATGGGTAGCGGGAATATTATCGTGGAATTCTTCTCCACACTGATGGATTGCAGTGACTGAAAAAAAAAGATAGAAAATAATAATTTTCCTGTAATGTTTTCCTGAAGACGAAAACAGAACTCAAACGAGGATGAATTGAAGAAATTGTATGTCCGGAGCCAGATACCATGATCTCCTGCATTATATTGGCAGGAAATGCATACAATCTTGCCGGGGACAGAGAACGTACCTGCAAGTACCGGAGCTGAAGAGCAGCAGGGGATTCGGCGATGACATCGGCCGCATCCTTCAGGGCTCTGGATGCCTTCTGCTCTCCTTCGGCGGCAATGACCTTTGCCCTTGCTTCTCTGGCAGCCTCCGCCTCTGCGGCCATTGCTCGCTGCAGCTGAACCGGCAGCCTCACGTCCTTGCTATTATCATATTAGCACGAATACTATCTGTCGTGAAAGTAAGAATTGTGCCATCTAAATTATTGCAACTGTGTCTCTTACATTTCCACTCGTTCGACTTTGATACCCCAGCTGTCCGTGGCCTCGTCCAGATTAGTCTGAAATGGGAATGGATGTTGCAATTTTCTCACCCACGATTGACAATCGCAGTTCGACCTATTTCTGAGAAGGGATTGTGCCGCAATTGGGCTTAATACCGTACTTGCATGGTCCCAGAGATGGTTTCTCGTTCGCTGAGGATCTCATGAAGATTCCTCGTCCCAAGAACGTTCCGGAGTGAGGTTTGAGCCAGAAGTCGAGTGGAATGATGGGCATTTTCCACGTTGGCCACTGAGACAGTAGCATTGGATATTCGGTAGAACACCACTGCATCCACGCTCACCGTCACGCTGTCCTTCGTCAATATCTGCCAACCAAATCCAGTGTTTGTAGCAAAGAAGACGCTGACAGGCGATTGTTCAAAGCGATCCTACTTTCGATGTTGAGGTATAGTTACCACAACATGCAATGACAAGAGCATGAGAAGCATTCATGCGAACACTTAACAGCGAAAAATTGGCAATTAAAAAGGGAAAACCGGCGAGGGGGAGATGGAAGCTTTCTGCCTTCTGTCTGCAATGAGAATTCCTGTCGTGAGGAAACCAAAACGCCACTTTTTGTGGATGAACAATGCAGGGAGGCAAAGCACTCCCCTACGATTCAAGGAAGCTAAGCTCAGCTAAGAAAGCTGAGCAAGTCGCAAATCATCAGCAATTATCTTCGTTTAAACTCTACTATCCTCTAACCTTGGAGAAATGCGGTCAGTATGTATTCAATATATACGAGGGGAGTACTGAGCGCAAAGGTTTGGTGCCTTTTACCTTTTGCGATGGAATGTCGAAAGTCATAGTCAGTAGATAGACTGGCACATACGAATTCACGTACGGAAGAGTACAAATTTTCCCAGCGGACTGACATGGATTATCCGTGATGACATTCCGCTCTTGGAGTCCCCTTCACCCAACAATACCAGCGTTTAAAAGCGCGATGGCTAGAGGAGCACGACTTCAGCAAAGATTAGATACGTGCGGATGAGACCTATAATGCAACTGTGAAGTCCTCTTTTTCAATGCGAGGTAATATTTACTCCAGATCATTGCCAACATACGGTGATCTGCGTACCTGGTGCGTCATGTTCCAATCCATAAAACAACTAATCTTTTCCGGCAGTCTCTGGGTAGGTACTAAGCATTATTAGGCATGTGACACCCCCCCCCTTCTGCACCCACTGAGGAACGATCTAATGGAGTTGAGGGCTGGAAAAGTCTAATATTTAAGCCTCTACATTCTAGAGCATTGATTTCTGTAGCTGAAGTATATTAGCGAGCTTAAGCTGAGTCATCCACTTATGCTGTGGCATCATAACGTTGTTTTGCCGCTCTATCCCTCGGTCAATCATCCAATGACTATTTGTAGGAGACTAGAAATAATCTTATGTGCTCGCTCTTCCTCTTATTAAAGAGGTGCTTCCCACAACTGAAATTAAATCTGAATCCTGAGCCATCGATCCAGCTTCCCTCCCTCTCGTTATTACTGGCCCGCTGTTTCCCTAATTTCATCAAGGCACCGGACCGCGTCGGGTAGGGCGGCATTCGACATGAGCATCATGCCGTAAACGGAGGGTAGGAAAGGCAAAGCAGAGAAGCAAGGCAAAATAACGGGAAGCGAATGAAGAAATGAAGGAAGAGCAAGAAAAGCACGATAGTGTGCGAGAGGATTGAGCAGAAAGACTTACTTCCTGAGGAGGAACATCGAACACGGCTGTGCGGAGGTCCACCTTCGTGTAACTGTCCACGCACGGGAGAATGAAGAAGATTCCTATAAAACAACATTTCAACTGTTTAACTTCAAGAATTCAAGTCAGCCCAAGCATTCCACGGGAACGGCTACCCCTAGCTCCGTACAAATGTGTACGGTCAATCCAAAATCCCAGATAGGAAGTCCCGTGCCCACAACTAACAGAATATGAGACATCAACACAGATTTTCGCAAAAATACCGAAGTTATGGATTACTTTCTCAGTTATGGATAAATCTCATGGTGAGTGGCGATGAAGGGAAATTTTCCCCCTTTTATTTTAGTTAAACTAAGACATTAAAACAGCATCGTATATTAGGACAAAAAATTGCCAGAGCTATCTGAAACTCACCTGGTCCCTTCGCACCGCCAGACATGAGCCGACCGAGGCGAAATATGACAGCCCTCTCATATTCCTGAACCACCTTTCGCAAAGAAAATAAATCATTTTTTCGAGGATTCTTTCGTTTTGTGCTGGCCACCTAGAAGTGAGATTCATAGAGAAGATTCAAGAGTTTGAGAATGTAGCCACTAACCTTGAGACAGACGCAGAGTGAAAATGGGAATGTGCAGACGACTAGAAGAAAGGACATGGCAGTCAAGATAAGCCCGCATATTCCTTGACTCGCGTCAGGCTCGTCAGCTGTTTAAGAGAGCAAAGAGAACAAAATGATGCAAGACGTCGATTGAGTGGAACGATACGTGCAGCCTTTGCGAATGAATATCCGTCACTCGTCTCTCCTACCAGAGCAAACGTACAGCCTACAGATTGTTCTTGAAACGGCAATAATCGCATCGACAGGTGGCAACCGTTACACGGAAACACGATCCTTAATGAGCCGCTGCTTCTGAGCAGCTGAGGAATCGTACCGGTCGAGTAAAAATAAGCCCTACGCAGGCTTTTCAACGAGTGCTGCAGTGATGGAACACTACGGTGATACAAGATAAGCTAAACGTCATGCAGGATTGGATCGAGCCGTTCCGCTCATCCCAAGTCCGGTTTTAGCAGTGAGAAAATAAATGTGCGTTGTACTGCAAGGAACACAGCTGCTGTGGTTCCATTTGCTTCGTGCAAGAATCACCCTCGCCATGCACTTACCGTCACCAGTTGCCGACGGCTTCCCAAGTGCCAAGGGTTGAGTGCTTCCAACTTCTATTCTATACATGGCATGATCTTCCGGGCCCTCTACCAAACAACGCACAGACACAAATAGATTTTTTTTTTGTTACCTGGATGGAAGATTGCAAGAATAACAGTTTAGTCTACTCATGGTGGTGTGTTGATGCTGGAACGTTTGTTGTTTCAAGGATTTCTTTTCCCTCCCCCTTTTCCATCAGGCTATCGGTACCGTGTATTAGAACTGTTTCATCTGAAATCACATTGCTGGCGAACCTTGTCGCTGGGAATAAATGGGAGAAAACCTTGGTTTCTTTCAAGATCGAACTACTTTGCCAGACTGCCAGTCTGGCAGAGCCAAAATACATTACATGAGATTCATTTATTATAAGATTCATATTAAACATCAGGGTGGAGAACAATTGGGGTCAAGAGTTCCCGAATAAGCAATGAAAACACCCAGATTTGAAGGATCTCCTATTGAAAGAAAATGGAACCTCCCTCAACTCGGCTGTTTCTCTGCGCATGATCTGGGGGAAAAGGTCATTCCACCAATGAGCTTAAATGTCTCAAAGAACAGCAAGAAATCTCTAGTGAGTTCAGAAGAAAAGAACAATAAGTTCAACGCTTCGACAAAAGAACGTTTCGACGATAGTCTTACGACTGATCACAGAGTCGAGCACTGCCTCTTTATAGCTCTCTCCACGAGTCTTGCCCAAGAAGAGCCCATGGCTGTGATATCCACGGCACAGGCACCCGATAAATGAAAATTATAACCGACAAATAAGGTCGTCATTCCATCGTTTACGAGTAGAGTTGGAGCGGATGATTATCAGGGGGAAGTTTTTTGGAGGAAGCCACGCGGTATGCTGCCATGACTTGACTCATTCAAGTGATTCCACAGAAAAAATTCCATAGAATCTTCGAGAATCACTTTTGGATAAGGATATCACGCACACACATACACTCGCACATGTTCAAATTCGTCCATCCCAACTTAATGGGGTAGTGTTTGAAGCAGGCCCAGGAGCGCCTTCCAATTTTCCCGATCCTGGACAACAGATTCGAGTTCAGCAGGTGTGATGCCGAACCTCGAGCGACAAAGTTTCGCGATATAGTCGTTCCACCTTGTAAGAAGTCTACTTATTGGTCTTCTGCCAGTCATCTTGGACTGAGAGATTCTTTTTGAGTGCCTCCTAGGGCACGCGGCAGACAGTCTCCCGAAGGAAGCACCTCATTTCGGAGTCTTGTATCTGTTTCTTAAGGCCCGTTCACATTGTCCTTCGACGAGGCTTCGCCACAGCTTCGCCGAAGGTGCGACGTATGACTCTCATTCACATTACCCGGCGCTCACTTGCGGAACACCATTGGTAAACGTGAGCAGACGATGAGATTGCACCAATTTCAGTTCGATGCTGGAATGAAGATGGCAGCGTACAAAAGACAAGAGCTCTTGCTCCTGCTCCTCTACAATTTCCCGCTGCAGGAAGCAGCATACACCCTAAGAAAAGTGTGAGCGATTACTGAGAAAGGGAACGAAACTGGAGTTAGCGAATTCACTCCCTAAGAGCAAGGAAGTGCAACCTCTCTTTCCTGGGAACAGCCACTACCTTTTTATACTAGTTTTATAAGTACTCTACTTCCTTCGTTTTCCGTTCTTGAAAAATGTATGGATTTTGCTTCTATAAAGGAGTACTTATCGATTGTACTTCGTTTTTAGAGAGCATAATCGTTAACTCCATTTTCGCTCCCTTTCTCGGAAATCGCTCACTCTTTTTCAAGAGTGTAGGCGAAGGCTTTGGATGAGAGAGATCTAAGGTGGCCACGTCTATCATCCGATGGAGCAGAATTTTTCGGAAATTGTGTTTTCTACATTCTCCATTACAGGGGTACGAATTCAATCCGAAAACAGTGTACGTCCAACCTAACATTATCTTAGTCGGCACAACCTAATGTTGAGTATAGGCTTAAACTAGGGTCTTATGTCAACCTTAGGCCGACGCCAAGCTACTCTTCCCCAAGTAATACTTTCTCCCGTTCCTTTAAACATAGGTCGACCTCAACAGGTTTTTGTGTATCCAGCTTGGCTTGACAAAGACTAGGCGGGCTACGCCTATCACACAAACTGGTGGTAGACCTGGTATTGAAATGACGATAATGATACTTGTGGGAAGGGCATTTTTGAGACCTTAAGTGTAGGGTTGCCACCCGTTCATAATTAGTATGGACAGTACATGTTTCAGATGCAATGTCATACTGCAAACTGTTCCTAATATGAACACTGTTATGTTCATATTTTGAGCTTGCTAAGATTTTTTTTACGCAATAAAGCTTGATAGCAGCTAATATTGTAAGTTTCCATAAGTCAAAAGCAGTAGGCTTCACTCATAGTATCGATTGGCGCCTTGACTTAAGGTGGCTGTGGATATATTTAGAATATTTGTCCATATTTTGTTAAATTCAAAGGTGGCAGCCCTACTTAAGTGACGTACACAAAACTAGGGCCAGTTCCTCGCCTTTGCTAAACTTAAATCTAAATTTAAATCTAAATCTAAACCTAAATCTAAATATTAGGCTAAATCTTAATCTAAATCTAAATCTTTTGCTTTTAGGTTGCTTTTAGAGTGGATTAGGTTTATATTTAGATTTAGATTCAAGTTTAGCAGAAGCGAGGAACGGGCCCCTAGAGTCAATCATATGGGCTAGGATGTTTCAGGTTTTCAGAGCTCGTGCTGGCCATATCAACCGGCGTTCCTATTGGCTTTCCGTAAGTATGTCATCAATTCCTCATTGGCTACCCTTAAGAAAAGTTAGACTCCTTCTAACTCCTTGCGTCGGTGGGCCGCAGCTGCGGCATTACTTCAGCGTAGAATTCGTTCCATTCTTTTCTATGGGCGCATTCAGATTGGCCTGCGTCGCACCTTCGCCGAAGGAGTCCAATGTTAACGTACCTAACGGTCGTTACCAAGAGTTCATGACCATAGGTACGGGTGAGACTCTTAACCCTTTAATGCATTATTTTTTATTTTTCGGCGAAAAAAATATGGTAGGTCTCACTCACGTCCTAGAACACGGATCAAGTGGGGAAAAAAATTTAAATCAAATTTGTGAGCAGTAGGCCCAAAAATGTTATTGTTACTCATTTGCTACAAACAGCATTTTTAGCTTTTTAACCCACGCTGCATGAATGCTAGAGCTCAGTCGGTCCGTCAACATTCGTACATACCTCAACACAAAAGAAAAAGATGAGCCTGAACCCTGGATTAGCTTAAAGTTTAAGGAAATTAAATCAAAATCGTCAATCTCCCATGCGACAAAGCCAGATTGGTTTTAATTTGCTTGCCACCAGAGTGTATGGCACCTAGCGACCGCATAGTTGCTACGTATAAGGACCGGACTGTAGCATATCTGCTACGTCATGCATTGAAGGGTTAAGAATCGAGAGTTTTAGCCTCCTTGAGATTGTTCGATTCGGCGACGACTGTCCGTCAGAGCTTCAACGACATTGTTGAAGTCCTGTCGATGCGGCTTTGAATCTCGTTTCCATTTCGTCCTCACTCAAGAAGCAGAGCCCGAGTACTTCGTACTGAAACTGCTACACCAACTCCAATTTGGTGCCACACACTCGTTGGGTCGACCTGCCCAGATCGAAAGGGCCTCTGCTGAAAGTGAAAGTACTGTTGCCGAAAATAGGATGAAAACTTGAGGGCAAGGATATTATTGCTGAAATTGAAACGACCTTTTCCGAATGTGACTGGACTCCAGCAGAATATCTCCTGGAAAACGAAATTAACCCTGTGACACCCAATAAGAATATGGCAGCATCACAGACGCCCTTAGGGAGTCTAAGACAAGAAAACAAATGCTCACATTTCCAAATAATTTTGAATAAAAAAATTTCATGGCACATGTTTCTGGTGCATGCCAAGTCACTGTAGTGCAACCTTATTTATGTGGAGTTCTTTACTGTCCCTTTTATCCATGAGCACAAGAAAAGTACCTTGGGAAACACAGGGACTTGAATAGTAAGATCCGAGAAAAATATGAATACACGCATTTTCCCCGAACAGGTTTATTTTCTGGAGCCTGATATCCTAAAGGTTTGTGAGCGTGCAACTCGAAGTCCATTCTTTTTTCACCATTGCGTATGAAACGGATCGCTTGAGGTATCCCTCAGGTTAAGCCGATGCCTAAATGAACTCAGGACTTCGGGGTTACATTTAATATAATCCGCGTTTTGCAGCGCGAAGACATTTTTCCCTCCCGTTAAAAAAAAATTAATTTAAATGAATGTAATATGAGTGCAATACGAATGCAAATTAATGTAAATTGAATGCAAGACAAAGGTAATTTAAAAGTTATATCCAGGCAACTTTCAGAAGAAAGCTAGGCAATCGCATATTTGCAACGCCCTCAATTGCTTCGTCTCTCATCTCTCGTTTTGCTCGATACGGAAGGCTTCCATCGAGCAGACGTCATCTACGAACCCGGCCTTCGGTACAAATTAAAGTAAGAATCACGTGGGATCACACCCTGAAGAAATATGGAAGGAAGGTTTCGGGGCGTAAAAGTCACTTGTCACTCCCTACTTTAAAGCAGACCTTTTTGAATCCCCAGGCAGAATTTATTCTCTCTTCATTTTCGCTTGAAGAATACAAGGAGCTACCGGCTTTACTTTCTCGCAACTGATCCCTTTTGTGCGACAGAGCATGATCGAATAACAGATAAAACCCACGATAGAATTCTTTGAAATATGAGCCTTTGAAGGTATCCTTGATGGAGCGATTTGCGGGAAAGAAAAATAATTGGATCACCAGGTTCACATCCTTAGCACGTAACTTCCAAATTACAGCTCCCATAAATTCCTATGTGACAACCATAAAGTTCCTTAATGCGAAATCCTTCAGGGAGTCCTAATTTCCTCACAGGGAAATACTCATATGATTCAAAAGAGGCGTTATTTCTTCAACAGCTCCGCACTAAATCTAACAAAGCGTGAAAAAAAGGAGAATACACGTGCCGTCAACAGTACGTGGCGAATCGTCTCAGAGGATTAAGGCATGAATGCACGACTAGGGTTTTTTAGGGTTGTAGATGGGGGGGCCAGGGGATCACAAGCAAGGGACAGCCACTACGAGCAGCTTTAGACCGCCGCGTACTGGTGTGCAGGATAGGCAGGGAAGAGTAAAGTGTTTCTACGCGAATGCACGCAGCTTACGTAATAAAATAGACGAGCTCAGGGGGCGGGCACTGGACAACGGTTTTGATGTCATCGGAATAACCGAGACTTGGGGAGGTTCTCACATTTCGGATAAGGAATTCGAGATCGAAGGATACGACATCTTGC